CCAGCAGATTACTTTATACTGGGCACAAGCCCTCAAAGACCACCATGCATCTTTATCTGGAGATCTACACCTCCACTCCGCGCTTGTTCATGCCAGCTAGACTTTTCTTCTCCCCAGCTACCTCTCTCTTTCCCCGCCTTTTGCTCTCTTAGCTCTCCATTCTTATATTTTCTAACTGTCTTTCCTCCATCCATGTATGTAGTGGTTAGTGGTCAGCTTCTTAGCAATTGTGTAACGTGTGACTCCAAACACCAGCTATGTTGCAGCCAGACCCCCAGTCCACATCAGACTTGTAAAACGTTTTGGGATTTAGGCCTGTTCTATTCCATGGCTGGCTTTCTGTGTAGCAAACCGTATTTCCGGCTTTGTCTCAGGAACAAGTGTTGGTCAAACAGGCCTTTTGTCTGTGGCCAGTGGCTGAGCGAACCACAACCAGTCTGGCCGGGGAAAAAGAAGCAAGTGTATGAGCCGTGGTGTGTGTGCTGTGGCAGGGAAACATAGACAAACACAGAGAGGTAGAGGAGTAAGGAGGAAGGTCAAAGCCAGCCAGCTGCTCTATCAGGTACTTCCATAAAGTGTGCACAGATTGATATAACATCAACCAATTGAAATGAAATAAAGGTGCTCTAACACTCTGAAATCCCTGAAAAGCGATTTTAGTTTAACAATTATTTTCCATTCAGACCTTTAAGTCAGGTGAAAGTCATGACTGAATTAAGAACAGCCCTAATGGGGGCCTCCTTGGTGCATCTACTAATTCCCCACCTTCTTCCTCAACCTGTCTTCTCCTGCTCCCCCCCTTCACCCCTGTCCAATCCCTGACTGTGAATACCCTAATGACATAAACAGAGTAGTAATCACATTAACGCCAGTTACGGCTTAGGCACTCTTAAGAGGCACTGTATTGACAATCCTCTGTCTTCCCAAGGCACTCACTCCAACACCTATAAACACTTATGAATATTGGCAAAGACCCGCTATTAGCATAATCACTTTTCAGGTGTGTGTAAGTGCTCCAGAGGCCCAGGCGACTGATAGCTTTGGGAAATGGCGGTTGACATGCTGTGTCCCCCATGTCTCTGTGCCTTCCCCTTCCCTCCTTCTCCTTTTGGAAGGGCCTTTGAGCTAATCCTGTAAGCTCGTTCCTCCATTAGCTAAATGACCAATATCAGTGAGAGCTGCGTGGTCACACCAGGCAGGACGGCCTGGGCCCGCTATCAGGCATGGTCAAGGACAAAACAAAAAATAGGGGTCAAGGAAAAGTTTGCTAGCTTCTTGGATATATGTCTGGAAAGTTTGAGGTAGTTGAAAGCTATATGCGTGGTGGGTTTGGTTTAGTATTGGCCGATACAAATCCTCCAACCGGCCACTGTAAGCCTAACAACTGACTAAGAGAAACAAACAAAACCAAAACTCACTAACGCAATGTTCCGGAACATTGCAAATTCTGTATTTGTCAAAATAAAACCCTATTTAACCAAGTTAGAAGAAATAATGTTCCATGTATACACACTGTTTTCCATCCTACTTTTAACTACCTTAAATAATAATGACAAACACTCACAACCGGTGATGTCAGCCAATCGCCAATAGCGTAAATATTTATCAAATCATCCAACTAAAGTTTGATTGAGAGATTAAAAGAGGAGGAGACAGTTGATGACCATCCCTTAACGCATTGTTAACCTGCCAACGCGGGGTCAAGGTCATGATTGTCTTGGCGTCTGTTGTTTTGTTTGTTTGTGTTTAGGCTGAGGGGACAAGAGGGGGAAGGGGGTGATTGAGAGAATGCGTGTTGGGGAGGGGGTTGGGTGACTAACAATAGAGAAATCTGCATGAGCAAAGTGTACATGATGCCTATGCCTCCTGGATTGCATGTGTGCATTGCTTTGTCTGGTCAACACTGCTGTCTGGGCCGGCGGTGTGAATATTTTGTCAGCAGCTAGAAGCGACCATGTCTGCTGTTTAGGGCACAATAACTTCCCCCCTGCCCTTGCGTAAGCAGCCTTGTTCTTTTTGCATGAGCCCTGGATCATATTCTCCTCCTAAGGGCAGGGCACAGTGTCCGTAGACACCATAATAGCCTCCGACTGCTTTGTGTCGCAATGTGTTGAAATGTCTTTGAAGGAGTTGCTAAACCCCCTTTCTCTTCCTTTGGCTGTTCTACATCTCTCCTCTGTGCTCTACCTCTTTTAGTTCTTTATATTTCTCTTTTTCGTGATTATCACTCTTCCACTTTTTCTGCTCTTGATCCTCCTGGCCTCTCTCATTTCTCCTGTATGCTTTCTGCCTTCTCTCCCCCAAAGTCCCCTCTTTCAGCCCCGGCCATGAAATGGCAGCTAAGGGGTTGTCAGTGTGGTTTCTCCTCTCTGCTGATCCTATTTCAAAGGGACCTGGAGATCCAGCATTAGCCCCAGCTCTCCTGCTCCCCAGCCCTAACTCTCCACAGACTTAGAGTTAATGGAAGGAGAGAAACAGACGGAGAGAGTGAGAGGGAGCTCTCCTTTTATTCCATTAGAGGACAGACTCGTTTATAAGATCATCCTTCCTCCCTCACACAGTTCTCTGCTCTTCTTACGAGCAAAGAAAGAAAACCCTTCAAGGCCGTCAAAGGCCCTGTCAGAATGTCTTTTCTCCTTTTGAATAACTGTCCTTCGATCGCTTTGAGGACAGCTATCAAGGACAGTTGTGGGCTTATTTAGATATCCTTTCTGCCGTTGTTGTGAATCTGGGCAAGCATTGGTCCGGTCGGTTGATGCCAATCAATGTGTCCACTGTTTGGACTGGAATAACAATTATCGTAAATGCTTGTGGCATGAGCACGGTTTGTCAAATCTTCATAAATGGGCTTGTGATTGCAGAGCACAAGACATGCTGTTTTTGATACATAAGAAAATAAATTGATGACTGGCTTTGAAGTGCTGTTCTGTGCCCTTCAGAAATGCGGTGGGTTGTCATTAGGAATGTCCCCTTCACGCCACACTTCTCTCCCTACTTTGCAACCTTCCTTTTTCCCTCCTTCCTTCACTTCCACGTTCCCTCAGTGCTTTATTTCCTCTGACGGACGTGGCTGTGTCTCGGAGGAGAAGACGACATTCTAGCAATCCCCCCTCCCCCAAACCCATCTCCCCCGCTTGTCCTTCACAATAACACAACAATTCATCTATTTCCCCCCTCATGCATATGCACTCTCTGCTCGCACATTAAGACAGGGTTGGGGAAGTGTGTATAGGCAGCAAATCAAAGCAAAGTGAACAGGCGAGGCCAGGTTATTGCAGCCGTTTTACGAGTGATATGGGGCTTTCTATATAAAGCCATAAAAACACACACATAATCAGGAAACATACATATAGCCAAAGCCAATGTAATGGGCACATTTTATTTGTGCTTATGAGAGAGGGAGCAAAAGCGTGTACGGGCAAATGGGTTTTTTATGATGGAAAAATTCCATAGTGGGTCAAAGCCCCTTGCAGGTGGCAGCAATTAACTGTAATTTTTGCAGATTGTAATGATCCATAATTTACCAGTATACCCCCCTTCCAACTCTTTTCAGTCAAGAGAAAAAGGTTTGCGTGGAGGTTTGATTGGGTGCACATTTTATGCCGTGTTCTGGTCTTTAAGTGAGATTGTTCGGAGGGGGCCACGGTGGCCGTGGACACACGAGATAGAAAGGAAAACCACAAAACACAGCAATCTGTTCCATCCACGACCATACTTTATTCTCTCTGCGGCTGTCTTCTCTTTCTGCCCCTTCACCCCTTTGTCTCTCAGCCACAGCAGGCTTAAAACATGCAAGACTGTCCATCCACCATCTTAGGGATTGTCATAGTCGCAATCACACACACACACACACACACACACACACACACACACACACACACACACACACACACACACACACACACACGCACGCACGCACGCACGCACACACACACACACACACACACACACGTAGCATATTTTCTCCACAGCCTTGTTCTCTATCTAGAGCACAGTACGGCCATGGTTTTGGGTTCAGTGTCTGCAAATGACTTCAGGAAAATGCCCTCGAGTAAGAATAGAAAAAGAGAAAAAGGATAAGAAAGCCAAAAGATGAAAGAGGGAGCACATTTGCAAGTGGCGGATGCTTCTTATTTTGCATATCTCTCACTTCTGCTTTCCCCTTCTTCTCCTTTTCTATTCACCTGAGAGGATTTAAATAAATCCATAAAGCATGAAATATCAGAAATAGAAAAGTAATGCATGAAATGCATTTTCATAGGAGCCTCCCACCCACACACAAACACTCATACACAATTTCCCCCTTTGCTTCATCTCGCTGTGAATGTGTTTTTTGTGATAAACGTTGTTACAATTTATTAACATGTGACCTCTTATTTGTATTTAGCATTAATATGCAGCATCAGATACATGTCCCACTTTAGCCTTGCTAATTCTGTAAACATGGCATTGGAGGGGAGATGAGTGTGTTTAACGAGATTAGGCGTGCATTGTCAGGCAAATCTCCGGTCAGTGTGCAAGTGCTATTGAAAGTCAATTATTGTTTGAAATATTCCTATGCCTTTTCAACTGTGTAAATTGTGTATTTGCTGCCTGAGATATCCTTCATTATTGTTTTATTCATTCACTTGAAGTAAATGCTGGTACAAATTATTTTTCTAAAATGGATATTTAATTCATCACTTAAGTTTTCGCTGAGGAATTCAGATACGGTTGTCTATTTTTTTTTTTTTTTTTTTGCGTTAAGATTCAGTCTTGCTTAATAGTCACAAATGTAAGAAGGAAGATTTATTTCTCTAGTTGAACAACATTATTTTCATTCACATTTTCCGTCACACTCTCTGTTTATGATGATCATATTTAACATTTTGTTTTGAAACTTGAAACCTCACAAGTGTGTATTATGAATCTTTTTGAATAATGTAATATAATCAATAACCACATTTTTATATTTTAACAGCTCAATTAAATGTTTTCTCTCCGTCTCCTTTTCCTAATAGATAAAGATGAGCCCAGCAGCTACACCTGCACCAGCTGTAAGCAGCCCTTCACCAGTGCCTGGTTCCTGCTCCAGCATGCCCAGAACACCCACGGCTTCCGCATCTATCTTGAGAGCAAACCTGGCAGCCCCCTGACTCCCCGTGTGGCTGCAGCTCCTGGGATGGGGGGTGATTGCGCCTCCTCCCAGCCTTCCCACCATGCCGTCCACTTGGCAGAAGGCAGTCCCTACAGCCTCCTGAGGATGCCCGGCTCTGGCTCTGGGCGGGAATCGGCGACCACACCTCGCGAGGGCCGTTACCCCAGAACCCCTCCACTGTTCAGCCCTCCGCCACGGCACCACCTCAGCCCTGATGACCTGGCGCTGGCAACCCACCACCCCAGCGCCTTTGACAGGGTGATGAGGCTCAACTCTGTGCCACTAGAAGCCCCTCCGATGGACTTCTCTAGACGTCTACGTGAGCTTGCTGGGAACGCCAACGGGGCCTCTCCGCCTCTCTCCCCTAACCGGCCCAGCCCTATGCAACGGCTGCTGCAGCCATTCCAGCCCGGTTCAAAACCTCCATTTTCAGCAACGCCTCCTCTTTCAACCTCTCAGTCACCTTCTGGATTACGCTCCACCCCCAATCCCGTATCCAACGCAGCCCAACCAGGCACCCCTCTCAAGGCCAAGTCTTGCGAGTTCTGCGGGAAGACCTTCAAGTTCCAGAGCAACCTTATAGTCCACCGGCGAAGCCACACGGGGGAAAAGCCATTCAAGTGTCACCTCTGTAACCACGCCTGCACCCAGGCCAGCAAACTGAAACGACACATGAAGACTCACTGTCAAAACAAGTCTTCGGCGCTCAATGCTAAATCAGAAGACGGCCTCTCGACCGCGAGCTCCCCAGAACCTGGCACCAGCGATCTGATCGGCAGCGCCACAGATGCTCTCAAGTCAGTTGTGGCCAAGTTCAAGAGTGAGAGCAATGGCCTCATGACGGAAAATGGAGAAGAAGAGGAGGAAGAGGAGGAGGAAGAGGAGGAAGAGGAGGAGGAAGAGGAAGAAGAAGAGGAGGAAGGCGAGGAAGAAGAAGAGGAGGAAGGGGAGGAGGAGGAGATGGAGACTAAGCCTGGAGTCGAAGTAGAAGATGACAGGAATGACTATCGTTTCAGTCTGCGCCTAGAAGGGGCTCGCCACCACAAGAACAGTGACGCGCTGCACCCACGCCGCCGGAGCCTGTCCCGGGAGCCCGGTGACGAGGACTCGGCCCTGGATTCAGACGTTGTTGGAACCACCACCATCAATGGTCTTGGCCCTTTATCCTCTGACAGCCTGTCCAGAAAATTGCTCAGTGGTAGGGTCAGTCCAGGTTCCCTCAGTCCCCTGTCCAAGCGCATCAAGGTGGAAAAGGACCTTGACCCCCAAACGCCCACTATCCCAAACACGGAGAACGTCTACTCCCAGTGGCTTGCTGGCTATGCTGCCTCACGACAACTCAAGGACCCCTTCATCAACTTCACTGGCGGGGACTCCAGACAATCGCCATTCGCCTCTTCATCAGAGCACTCTTCAGAAAACGGCAGCTTGCGCTTCTCCACTCCGCCGGGTGAGATGGACGGGGAGCGGTCCGCCTCAGTGCGCAGCGGCACCGGCAGCGGGGCCAGCACTCCCCACGGCGGGAGTGGGAATTGCAGGCCGAGCTCCAAGGACAGCCGCCGCAGTGACACCTGCGAGTACTGCGGCAAAGTATTCAAGAACTGCAGCAATTTGACAGTGCACCGACGCAGTCACACTGGAGAGCGGCCATACAAGTGTGACCTGTGCAGCTATGCGTGCGCCCAGAGCTCAAAGCTAACCCGCCACATGAAGACCCACGGACAGATGGGCAAGGACGTGTTCAAATGTGAAATCTGCCACATGCCTTTCAGTGTATACAGCACTCTGGAGAAACACATGAAGAAGTGGCACAACGACCGCCCTCTGTCTAGTGACATTAAGACTGAGTAGGCAGAAAGCAGCATGCTGGCAGCTCTCTCTCAGTTCCCCTGGCTAAAAAAGCGACCCTGGCTAACTAGCCAATAAGTGAGGGGAAAGGACATCAGGGTTGGACAGCAGTACACGGTACAGCCCTGTTTTTACCCCGACTGGAAAACGCTGAATGCATGATCCATCATTTGGGGAAATCCTATTGCATCAAACGCAAAACTTTTTGAGCCTTTCTATTGTGCAATAATTTACACGTTTTGTATTTTTTGTAACTGGACAGCATGCTCTGTGTGTTTTGGCTACTTAGAGAGAAAATTGTCCTCGGCTGGTGGGTTTGGTTGTACATGTGTTGCTGTTGATATTTTTGATTTCTTCAAGGTAAAAAAAAGTTAGTTATGAGAACCCATGCTGCATACAGTACATACTGTTTTACATATCATGTACAGTTTTGTGTTCTTACATAGTGAACAGTGTCATATTATCAAAACATCACGACAAGCAGGGTCACACTTAAAACGGATCTTTCTGAAAGATTTTCCATGCAAGATTGAGATAAGAGATATATATAAATATATATGAAATTTGGGCTGCCTATCAAATGCTAGGCACGAGCGCCGTTAAATACTTCTTTGAAAAACAGCAATGAAATTAACAATATGGTGTGAAACAAAGAGTGCCTTGGATATTTTACCTGCATTAGTTAATCCTCCTTTTTGCTATAAGCTCGGAGTTTCAGCTATAGAAGATTACAGGACATTTTTGTGCACATGTGGAATAAGCAGGTCCTTGCATCAAGCACCTGCACAACCCTGTCATCTTGTGACTTTGCAGAGCATAAGGAACCAGCTGAAACAAAAAACGTAAAAAAACAAAAAAACATTATGTGTACCTCTGGTAAATCATTTATCTGCCTGACTCATGTATATTGTTATTCTCCAGATTATGATTCTGTTTACTGGCATGTTACATGCTAAAAAAGGAGTAGGTGTGTAGAGTTCGGTTTAGGTGTTTTATGTTTTCCGGTACATGTGTACCATACTGAGAGGGTAGTCTGACGAGTTGTTTTAACGTAAAGCTCTTAATTTTCCAGAGTGTTTATTTTCTTTGAAAATTAAAAGGTTGCAGGGTTTTTTTTGTAAGTAGCACAGAGTTTTGTTCCTTTGGTGTCAGCCAGGCAGCAGTGTAGCCAGCAGCCACTGTGGAGACCACAAAGTGGGTTTTAGTTGTACGAAGCCAGACAGATTTGGGGTGAGGGTGGGGGTGAGGGTTCGGGTGGGTGTCATAGGGTAAGGGTAGCGGGATGGGTGAGTGGTTTGACCAGGTGTCTCTACAATTCAAATGTTTATGTCCTTATAGCGCTTATCCTCTTTACTGCATTAGATCTTTGAAACATTTTTTTTAATTTGGAAACGATCTTAAATGGAAGCCAATCTAAAGTCAAGAATCAGAATTTAGTAAAAAACAAAACAACAAATTATCCCTTCCACACACATTTTTAAGAGTCAAATTTCCACGTTTTGTGTTCTTTTCAGTTAACATTATCTAAACCTCATTGTGGTTTGTTTTTATTTCCATCACTTTTCATTGTTCATGATATAGCACTTGTCACTCTGCCTTGGATTCTGTATCTGTCTCTCTAATCGGGGGTACAGTCGGTTGAGTATAAAACGAGGACCAGATTTCAGATCTGGGACTACCTACGTGCACTGTTCAATTTTCCCAGTTTACATTCGGACGCTCAAGGGAAAACTTGCTCTTATGCTGACAGATTAGTGTGGTGTCATTGCTTTGCATTAAAAAAAGAAAAAAGTCAAAAAAAGAGTTGAACTAGAAACTGTTGCCAGCCATGTCTCCTCCCGAGAACTGAACATCAGTTTGGCTCTTGAGGAGTATCAATGCAGGAACCGCCATAGAAATATCCTGCTTCATACCATAACTATGAAATATACTGCTCAGTACAGAAAGATAACAATTCTACAAATTTGATTTTAAAAGCTAAGTAAATTGTGTTGTTGAGTCTTTTAAAGTAACAATTCAATATCTTTAGGGGAGAAACATTATTTCAATTTTGTTTAATTTAAATTGTTTTGGTTGTTGTTTCTCTTTTCTGTCTCGGTAACATCCGAGACTTGATCACTATGTAATGAATTGTAATGAACATGTCTCTCATCTTTTTTGCCTTTACTATACACAAGTCTTCAGGTTGAACAAAAATTGCATTGGGGAGAGATTTATGATATATAAATATATAGAGAGAACTTAAAACACATAGGAAATGCACACTCATGTAAGTTCCTATGTTCAAAACACATTTATGGTCTACTTTTTTCCTGTATTTAGAATGGTATTTGAAATTAATGTTCACTTAGCGTAGGCACTTATAGTATTTATGTTGGAGCCTGTATTTTTAACTGTTTTGCCTGTACTCTTTAAAGGTTTCAATGTACCCTTTTTTTTCTGTAGTGAAAAAAATCCCAACAAGCTGCCACCGTATATTTTCTTAATTTGGCAGGATAATATAGTGTGAATAATTTGTATGCTTGAAAATAAGTATGTTTTTGAAAAATAAAATGTTGTGGAGTTCCCCAAGGGGTGAGAGGTCATGTAATGGCCTTTTCAGGCAGTCCCGCTGGAGTGACCACAATGAGGTAAAAACAGGTGGTTGTACATATCTTTTTAGTTTGTTTTATATATTTTTCTCTCCTGCCATTTTATATGCAGTAATTCAAGCTATTGTTGGGTTTTCTCGGTAGCCAACTTTTTACTGTCCTTTAAACATGTACCACCTGATAACATTCCAGCTGTTTTTGAAAAAGACCTTTTGTCATATGCAATCAATCCAACATCAATCTATAAAGCATTTTTTTTTTTTTGCTACAGTTCTTTCTGTTATTTTGAAATAGTTTTTCATTGCCAAAAGAACCATGGTGCTTTATAATTTAAATATGATACATCTAATATGCAAGGCATATTCTAAATAAATCATAGAAAGAAAAAGTTTGGTACATGTTATCATTGCTGATGGTATTGAGGTACATTTGTGTTTTCAGCCTGATTTCATCCTGTGTTCTGTATTTACTCACAAGCTATTTGCTCTGAACTGAACTTGAAGTTGACCTTTGACATTGGTCGACATTATTTATTATGACTATACACATACGTTGCTCTGTTCAGAACGGAGTCACTGCAAAACAAATCAGTTCGTTTTTCTCCCTCCTGATGTAATTATGATGGTTTAATTTCTGTCTGATGACCAAAAGTCATTGACCAACATTCATGAGTTCTTGCTGGACTTGCAGATTTTTTTTTCAGTTACGGAGATGCCACTCTATTTTAAGGCTATTGTCTGCATTATTCTCTTCACTCAGCCATTTTGTCTTGAAAAAAATAAAAAGTATTACATACATATCTGAATTTGGTGCTTTTGATTTTTTTTTTGTGGTCTGCATGCATGCTCAATGTCTTACTTAATAAACACTATATACACATTTTCACAACCACTAGAACAAACAAACACACCAACTATTTAATTGAGTTTGTTATAAAGTGGGTTATTTAAAGTAGCTATGCAGCAACAGAACATACATTTGCCACCTGAAAATGTTTAGCTTAAGTGTATTCTATATTAAGAATAAGTTCAGTACTTTGTGTTTCTGACAGCTAGCGCTTTCTAACGGTGAAATTAAGCCCTTATATTAAACTATGCTCATGCCAAAGCTAGGGTATCGTTAGGGGTTAGCCAGTTTCAATTGTAGAAGAGCAGTATTTTTTAACACACATTTGGACACTTAGGTCAAACAAACTAAGTTGCTGATCAAGGACAATATTATAGATATATAGAGATCTGCCACTCCCTTGTTCTAAGAGGTACAATTCTAATTTGTCTGGTGACTTTGGGGCAAGGAACCGGCTACAGTTCTCAAAATGCTGTGGAAATATTCAAAAAATATCGTATACTAAATAAACCTTTTTTTAAGTTGCTTAAATAAAAGAAAAATTGATAACCTCCTTCAGAGCAATACATTGCTTTGCTTCCATGCTGGTCACCCGTATCTACTGTAGACTATGGATAATTACCTTATACAACCCAAACTGTCTCTGTGAGTATGTTTTTAAGCATTTGTGTTTGGATGTTTTGTATCCAGGTGTGTTTGCATGGCTCAGCTTATATCACCCGTCATAGAGGTTGGAAGTTCACATCCATATCTCCGGTCTGTGGCCTTGTCAGGTCAGCGAGGCGTCTGCGTTATATCTCCAGCAACCCTCCCATCTCCTCTTATAACTCCCCCCTCCTCCCATTTCCTATTTTCCCTTTAACACACCACTCTGTTTTCTTCCTTCATGTTTTTTTCATTATGTTGTATCTAACTTTATATATCCTCCTATGTCCCAATCTCTCTTTTTTTATCTTTCTACCTCTCCCTTCCCTGTTTCCTCCTCTCCCCGCTGAAGCACTGGAGGGCAACGTGACAGACTAATCGCTCTCCTTGTCCGAGCCCGGCGCTGTTTGCCTAGCAGGGCCAGATTAAAGTTCACAGATAGAGAGAGGTTCCTGCTTGGGCCAGGTGTTGACAGTTAAGATAAAGCAGA